GAATCGATTGGCGTCAATTAAACTGCAAAATTCGTAGTAGTTTTGAAGTTATAGTCGGATTTAAATTCTCGATATTTTTGACTTTATCAGAAATTTTCTCGATAACTATTCATCGTAGAGCACTGAAATTTTTAACATATGATAGAAAATTCAATTTTCTATCCAACGGTACCAAATATAAGAGGTTATCTCTAATGGGTCAGGAGTTATTGCCATTAGACCGCTCCGGGAGCCAAAAATCGATCAAAATCTCGACAAAAATTCAAAAAATGTTCAACTTTAAAATTGATCCATTTAAAAATCCAAAAATACTGGGTCAAGTTTAAAAAATTACGAATTTTTTGAGACGCACTGTATAAAAAATCGTGCTCTATTTAAACTTTCCCAAATTCTATAGAACGTTTCGGCACTTTTGGCTGACTCATCACGGCCAAAGCGGTCATTTCTCGATTTGATTTAAAAAATTATCAGATTATCACTATCACTGTCAAAAAAAAAAAACAAAACAAAAAAAACACAGCATACTTACAACTTCATTTTTTTAATTAACATATTATCCCCAAAGTCATTAAAACACCACTCAATTTCACAATACACTTTAACTAAAACATCCGAGGAAACTTCCGTTGGTTCCATTTTACCCTTGTCCATTTTCCGGCCGTAAAATCACTAATAAACCAAATCTTATAAGAAAGAGTGGAAAGACTCATTCTTGTCATGACTCGTGTTGATTTCGCATCGACAAGTCAAAACAAAGACATTTTCCCAGATTCTGCTCCACTGGGACGAAATCTGGCCGGTTTTGTGGCGATGAATCAGCGCCCAATCTGACTGGTTTAAACTTGTTCAAAATACGCACACCAACGCCCCCATTTGACATAAAAATTCATTAAAAAACACGACATCTCGCCAGTTTTTATTAAACTATGCCCCAAAAACGGAACAATGTTCAGTTTTGTCAATTTCCTCGTGTCAAGCTCAATTTTCGACTTGAAAAAAACATTTTGACATGTGTCAGTTTTTTTGAAACTACTGTCAAAGTGACTGACGTTCAGGGTCACAAACATAAARATTCCACACAACGAATTAATTTCGTTTACTTGAATTATTAATGACGTTACATTTTGGCTAAAAATCGAATTATGAAACATTGGGTGTGCAAATGCGAGATTCAAATCCGTTCCTGTTGAGTTCTAGTGTATTTCGCGCATGAAATGTCACCCCAACTGTTGGCAATCCTGCTTCAGCGTTCCCGCCAATTTAARGATTCCTGCTTTCGTGGTGTTTTCAACAAAAATGGAAGGTTTCGACGACCCAGGAGTGTTCTACAGTGATAATTTCACAGCCGAGGARCACCACCCCGACCCCCAGATCAATCTCCAAGGTGTCAAGAAAAAATTCAAGGAGTTTATTCGCCAATACCACACCGACAACTTCAGCTACAAATACCGGTGAGTTTTTCAGGAATTCACCCCTGAAAATGACTAATCGTTTCACAGCGACACCCTGAAACGCAATTACACCCTCCGCCAGTTCTACTTGGACGTGAACATTGAAGATGTTGGTGCATTTGACGAAACTTTGGCCGATAAATTATACAAACAACCGTCGGAACATTTGGTTATTTTCGAGGAAGCAGCCAAGGAAGTCGCCGATGAGCTCACAGCCCCCCGTCCCGAAGGCGAAGACACCATGGAAGACATCCAAATCATGTTATCCTCAGACGCCACTCCMACAAACTTGAGAAACATGAAAGTGGGTTATTTGAGTGTTTTTGGCACTTTTAAATCTGGTAATTTCAGTCTGATGTTGTTTCAAAACTGGTGAAAATCCCAGGAATTGTGGTCAGTGCGTCAGGGATTAAAGCCAAAGCGACGAAAATCMCAATTCAGTGTCGTTCGTGTCAGAATGTAATCCCGAATTTACCGGTGAAACCCGGAATGGAMGGCTATGTGATGCCCCGGAAATGCAACACTGAACAAGCAGGGCAACCCAAATGCCCCCTTGATCCCTACTACATAATCCCTGATAAATGCCACTGTGTCGATTTTCAAATCCTGAAACTACAAGAATTACCAGATGGAATCCCTCAAGGGGAAATCCCGAGACACCTCACACTGTATTGTGACCGCTATTTGTGCGAAAAAGTCGTTCCAGGGAACCGTATTTTCGTCCTGGGGGTTTACTCGATTAAGAAAATTGCACGAGTTGG